GGCATAAAAATAATGTCCACAATTACTCCCTCTCTCTCTCCTACTTGGGTTTCTTCATCCTCCAGTAGTTTATCGAGAATTAAAAGGACAGTTCTTATCATTCGTTCAGCTGGATCTTGCTCCATGTCCCATTTCTCTGGTCTAATGCATACCACCTAAAATAGAGTATTATTCAATTCCTTAAATTGATAGTTTTTAGATTATTTATTGATGGCATAATGGACTATTGAAACTGGCAATAAATGCAAAATTTCAATGCAACAAAAAATTACTATATTAAAAATATTCCCTACCTTTTCTCCATTCCTTGTCCTCCCATTCAACACATACAGTACCCCACTGCTAAGAATATGAGATAGGTTGGATGATGAATCGTCTTCACTGAATATCTTTCCGTAGTCTCTCCTTATTGTGTGGTATTTCATGTAGAGGGAGAGTGAACGAGACTGGTCAAACTTCTTTGCTCTGAGGAACCGCAAGAGAAAAGGAGAATCCTTTCTTTCAAACACAACACCTTCTAACTCTGGATCATCTGTTATTAATAATAATAATAATAAGGGTGTGTCTTTAATTAAAAATGGAGTTTTGCTTCTTTTAACTCACTCTCTTTCTCTTCTATGGCTGCCCTAAAGTCAGCAATTGCTTGCTCTCTAGTGTCTGGGTCTTCATTCAGCTCTCTCCTTGCTTTTTCAAGAGTTTCCCCATCAATAGAATTGCTGCACATTTCAGCCATTATGTTAGGTGTGGTCAAAGAGTGAGGTTCCGTATATTGTCGGTTGTGCTTTATACAAACTAGATCTACGATCTCAAGTCCGGACGTGTACAAAAACTACGGGGGCGCATACAGGTTACACACGAGGAAACACGTGGGAAAAATTCGTAAGCATCCGGAAGCGCGCAGCAATGTGTTTTGATAGTAAACAAACTGATACAGAAATATTTTAATAAATGAATTCAAGTATAATAATAATGTGGTACTATTAAATCACACAACACAGTTTTTGGGTACTTTGCAGTGACATACAACCTAAAATGGCAATAGCAATGAGTGCTAAAATCAATTTTACTTACCATTTTTTCTTTTCTGTAAAAGTAATCTGTTCCCACTTCTTGCTCAGGTTCCACCAAAAAGCAATGATGATAGTCTTCATCATTCTTATACCAGACTCTATCACCAGCAATGATGGCTGCAGCTCGACCTGCTCCTATAGCTGTCTCTTGCACTGGACGGTGAGGAAAAGATACCGTTATCAAGTTCATAGCTCTTGTTCTTGCTGCATTCATTTCGCGTAGGTACGCTGTGGGAACACTCATCTATGGAGCACTGCGCTGCGTGTTTGCATAGCTATGAATATGAAGACGCGCCCTATAATAAATCGCCCACACACTCACGTGGTGCGCATACAGGTTATTATATAAGGCGTGGTTTCTGGTTATTACATCAATTTTGCAATTTTGCAGCTCTCTTGTTGAAGTGGCACACAATCCCTTCCTGTTAGAATAGATGTCTTCAAAAAACAAGCGAGCTCCCTCCCCTTCATCATCTACTTCCTCTACTTCGACAGAACATTTAATAGTAGACATTACTAAAATCCTTCCCGGCCGAGGAATACAGCACGATTTGGCCGACATGTAAGTTTGCCTTCATTTTGCTACCTTAGCTCTTGAAGCTAACCGTCCAGAGTAGCTTAAGAGCTGATATATAGTATTTGTGTGTTATTTATGGCTTCTAGTAGATATACTATTTGATTTAACACTTATTAAAGTGGAATAGAAAGTTGTAATTATTATCATCATCATCATGCTGCTGCCCGTTCTTGTATTAGGAAATGATAAGATTAGCCACAAGCCGAACCCAATACTCCCCTATATGATGATAGCACCATCAAAACTATCATTATTATCTTCATTATTCATTATCATCGTCATTATCATCCTCATTAATCTCTCCTAGGTCTTTACAAAGTAACTCTAGTACCTCCAGTAGTAATATTGCTAGACGCAGTCAAGCTGCGGATAACCTAAATAGGACCCTCTTGTTCGGAGAGAGCGAAAGACCTGA